GAGTTTGACGAGGTTGACCGCGTCGACGACATCGACCACGACGACGACGACCACGACGACGACGACGACGATGACGACGACGACGACGACCACGACCACGACCACGACCTGGACGACATCGTCGCCGACGACCGCCAAGACGACAACGACGACGATGATGACGATGATGAGCGTCTGTGGACGACTGGGCAGAGCAGGCCGAGATGGCAAAGGCCATGGGCGTGGAGTGCACGAACCACAGCTATGACGATGCCAAGATGTTCCAGGAGGTCCAGCCTGGAGAAGGACGAGGAGAAGGAGGAGGAGGAGGAGAAGGAGGAGAAGCAAGAGTAAGAGGAGGATGAAGGTCAGGCCAGGATGATGAAGGCCAGGCGGCGGGGGCGAGAAGTTTAGGCGCACGCGCTGCTGGCATTTCCTTCCCCCCGAAGGGGGGGAGGAGGGGGGGGGAATTTCGATGGGCTTTCGGACGTTCTCGTCGGTTCTTGGAGGTTTCCAGCTTCCGCATGCGTTCCTGCAGCTGCGCCTCGCCGAGAGATTTCCAGGGGGTGCAGCTAGAGACCCGAGTTATGACCCGAAAGCTAAATCTCCTCGAGTCGCGGAAAAAATGATGGGAGTGAGCCTGTCGGGGGAGCTTGGGGCCGTCAGATAAGGACCTGGAGTGACAATTTCGTGCCCCAGAAGGGGTCCAGATTTGAGGCGAGCCACGCGGCAACAAAAGACACGACGTCGGCAGTGGGAGCCCGACCACAAGAAGCCTTCTACAAGAAATCCAACCCTGAGACCCCAGGACGTCCATTGATTTTGGGTGTGGGAACGTCAGGCCTTCCATAGCCAGACCATCGAAACCCAAGAAACCCAGGGCACCCTGGAGGCGAGCAGGGTGTTTCTTGGCATGGGCACCCACTGTAGGAAAGTGGGCCAGGATGGGCTCGGGAGGGCCAGGGCGGGCCAGGAGGGGCTACGAGGGGCCAGGAGGGGCAAAGTCGAGCCAGGAAAGAGCACGTTCCCCCTCCGTTCCCATCTTCTCCTCCTCGCCCCCCCCCCTTCCTGGGGGAACGAAGAATGACAAACATAAAAACTCGGAGGTCCGCGCGCATTTCTCGGATCCGCGCTGGACCCCCTGGCGGCGCCTCCGGCGCCGCCCCTGGCGCGCTCCGCGCGCCAGGGAGGGGCGTCCAGCGCCGATCCGAGAAATCCGCGCGGACTTCCGAGTTGTTATGTCTATTTCATGTTTCATTCACCTATTCCTGGCCTCCGCGATTACACACTATGTGTACGGTTCCTCCTCTCTCTTTTGGCCATGCGCGTGTGTGTTGCCGCCTCTATCCCGAAGTGGTGCTTCATTCACACATCAGAAGCTTACAACCCTTACGCCATTTCAGCTTTTTTGGGAGCTGCCTCCGTCCTTCTCGGAGTGGCGCTCCCGCGGCAGCGTTGACCACATTTCAGGATCGGTGTTTTTCTCCCGTCGCTCGGAGTGGTGCTCTCGCGCCAGCTCGGCACACACTTCAGGAGGGAAAGAAACACACAGACACAATGAGTCGTCGACTCCCAGGAAAATATGGGAAGTGGGGGGGACGGCAAAAACCCAGAAAATGTAAGAAAATATAGGGAATCCTGTTATTTGTGTGTATTTATTTGTGTGTGTCCCAGGGCCCCTTCAACACACTTCTGGATTAGGTCCGTTCCTTGTCGCTGCCGGACTCCTTTTTCCCTCCTCTCCCCCGCCTCCTGCTCCCCCGTCCTCCTGTGTACGCATGCCCCCATTTCCGATCGCGCAGCAAGCGATTGATCAAACGTTGCGATTGCCATTTGGGCATCAAGGTCCTCCATGGCACCCCGGCCCGTCGGACAGAGAGAACATACTTCAGCGCAGAGGGAAGGCATGGGTGGGATGTCAGATGTGGCGCGAGCGCGGCTAGCGCGTGCCTCTCCCCCTCTTCGTTCTCATCTCCCTCCCCTCGCCCTCCCATCCCTTCAACCCACCCCCTCCACTACCCTTCCCCCGCCCCCTCCCTCATACATCGTACCCTCCCCACCCCACCCCCTCTGCCCTCCCCCCGCACGTACCCCTCGGCTCTCATCCCTCCCCCTGCCCATTTCCCCTCCCCCCCCGTCCTCTCTCTCTCTCTCTCTTTTCCGCTCTCTCTATCTGTCTCTCGCTCTGTCTCTCTCTCTCTCTTTCTCTCTCTCTCTCTCTCTTTCACTCTTTCTCTCTCTCTCTCTCTCTCTTTCTCTCTCTCTTTCTCTCTCTCTCTCTCTCTTTCTCTTTCGCTGTCTCTCTGTATCTCTGTCCGTGCACTCCCCTAATACTTTCTACCCGCCGCTCCCGCTCCCCTGCGCTCCAAGCCTCCGGGACCTCGGCTCGGCCTCTCCCTCGCGGCTCGTCAAGTTGCGGGCGCTCGCCCAGAGAGGGAGGGCTTTTGCAAGCAGGGCGCGCCTGGAGATGCTGAGGAGGGTCCTCGGCCGCCACCACCGCCTCGCAGGGCTCATTTCGAGTCCCCCGATTCGATTCGATTCGATTCAATTCCGATGGATGCCGATTCTAATTCGATTCGACTTGGGATTCCGATTTGGGTTCGGATTTCTCACAGGACGCGTAAAATCTGCCGATTTTCGCCGATTCGATCTTTCTCTGACTCGGCTGCCGATTTCCGCCGATCCGATTCATGTCGATCGCCGATCCGATTCATCGATTCGATTCTGGGCTCTCCAACGAGGCCGAGCTACGGGAAAGCTTGTGGGGTACGGCCGGTGGTTAAAATCATACGCCCCGCTGTTGCAATTTCGTTTGCTAATGCATAAGTAGTTGAAGCAGCGCAACATATCCTTGATATATGTGATATCGATCAGAAGGCGAGCAAGTTGACCACGCACGCAAAGCAAAACAGAGTCTGGTGGGATGCATGCCTTGCATGGAATGCACTGGTAATGGAGGATGCTTTGACGAAGTCGATTCTATAGGCTTACGCCACATCCGCCGACCCTGTATAAACTACTGCGCCTACAGGAATGCATTTCACGAGGCTTGTCCGAATCATGACCCGGCGCTCGACATCGTTATTGTTGTTTCGTTGTTGTTATCGTACTTCTTGGTGTTCTTTTGTGGCCTGTTGGTGGCATCTTGGCCTGTCTGCAGGCCGTATCCGGCCGCCTCGAGGCATCTTGGGCCACGTTTTGGGGCCTCTTGGGGGCTTCCTGGGGGCTTCTTGGAGGCCTTTGGGGTTCTCTTGCTCTTGGGGGGCGTCTTGGGGCCAAAGGCTCGAAAAGGTTCCCCCTGGACTCCCTCTGGGAGCCGTCTGGGGGCCCTGTTGGGCTTTCTGGGGGGGCTTCGTGGGCTGCTTTTGGACCCTCTTCGACCCCTCTTGGGGACCCCTTCGGCCGTCCAGCGGCGATATTGAAGGTTTCTTTGCCCGTCTTGGACGTTGTAAAACCGAAAAGGCGAGTATGCGAAAAATGCTGTTTTCCCCTCCAATTCTTGGGACCCTCTTGGGACGCATCTTGGAGGCCTTTTAGGGCGTCTTGGCAGCTTCGGAGGCCGTCTGGAGGCCATCGTGGGCGTCAAGGAGCGACATTTCGGCGACTCGTGGCCTTCTGGGACCGTCTGGGAAGTATTATGGTGCCTTCTTGGCCCGTTTTGGAGCCCTCCGCTCCCCCACGACGCGTTCGGTCCGGGGTCGGGCCGGGCCAAGGGGGGGGTCAAATTGCCGGTTTGGGGCCCCTGGGGGGGGGATTATGCGGGTGAAAACCTCACACGCTTAGAGACCCACAAGGGGTTGGAGGATGTTTTGACGAATTTGATTTTCCGGGAAAGATAATGTGAGAGTTGTGGCAGCCAGATTTGTTTTGGCGCGGTTTGGACGGGCCAGAAGTACAGGCACAACATTATGTCAATCTTCGCAGCGATGGGCGCATGTTGGACAACATGTTTCTCTTCATGAATCTGCGATGCGAAATGGACCTTGGACAGATGCAGTATGATATTAGCAGACTTGTTCGATCAGGCTTGGGACATACCGTGAAAACCTCGCGCAAATACGCTTGGTATTCAAGGATTCTGACAAGCCAATCACACTGGATCATGGTTTGGGAACTTAAGAATTCAAGCTAACTGGTGCATCCGGGGCCATCTTGGAGACCTCTTGGGCGATCTTGGAGCTATGTTGGGGGCATCTTGGGCCGTCTTGGGCCGTCGGAGGACCGAAAAGATGGAACTGCCCACATCCATCAAAAACCATAAGAACATAGATGATGTTGTGTTCTTCGGCACTTCCATGAGAACCTCTTGGCTCTTGGAGGTATCTGGAGCCGTCGTGGGGGCATCTTGGAACAATCTAGGGCCACCTTCGGCTCTCTTGGGGCTATCTTGGCCGTCTTCGAGGCTATTTTGGCCGTCTTGGAGGTCATCTTGGCCATCTTGAGGCATTTGGGATGTCATCTTGGGCGTCTTCGAGGCCTCTTGGGCCGTCTTGGGGCCCTCTTGGAGCTGGCCTCGGGGCCTCTTGGATTGTTCTGGAGCCATCTTGGAGGCCGCTGGGGCGATCTTGGGAACTCCTTGGGCCGTCTCGGGTGATCGGAGCACCAAAACGAAGGAACACCTCCAATCCTTCAGAAGCCCGACCACACGGCCCAGACGGGCGGCGACGAGGCACCGACGTCGACAACGTAGCCGCCACACCAGCCACGTGGCCCGGTTCTGTAGAAGTGAAGCACGAAACCCCTCAGTGCAGGCACAGTTTGGGGAACAGATTTGCACGCACAGGTGTGTGCAGGGCGCTTCCCTAACTCGATGACCGAAGGAGCTTCATGCTCCCTTCCTTTTCCGGGGGCGGGCCGAAACCCACTTTATTCAAACCACCTTCATATTTCTCGCTTCTACCTTCTGTTTCCGTGCATCCGCCTATAATTATATGTTCTGTGATTCAGGCGTGCAACCTCGGCATCGCCCCTGAGGCCATGGATTTCGAGGTGCATGACATGAGGCAGAAGCTCTTGGTGGATGTCGACCACATGACGAGCTGCATGAAGGACTTCAAGGCGAAGGCACCCCGCTGCAACCCTCCTATTCGAGGCGCTCCAGAGGGCATTGCGTGCGAGGGACCGAGCGGTTGACACCTCACCATCGTCAGAAGCCGGGAGAAGCGAGCAAAAACACCAGGAGCAAAACATTTTGCGGTTTCGATGACCAGGAGCAAGACAGTGGCAGATCCGATGGCGCAAGTTGGCGGGAGCAAAATATGTGGTCCAAAGAAATCATGACATTTTCGGACTCGAGTCCACAACAAAGACGATCCGAGACGTGATGGCAGTCGTTGGCGGAGAGAGAGAGAGGGAGAGAAAGAGAGAGAGAGAGAGAGAGAACAAAAAAGAGAGAAAGAAAGAGAGACAGAGAGGGAGAAAGAGAGAGAGAAGGAGGGAGAGAGAGAGAGAGATAACAAAAAAAAAAGAAAGAGAGAGAGAGGGGTATTCAAGGTTGTCCGCGGTTCGGTCGGTTCGGCTTTGTCGTTTTCGTTTGCGTTTGGTAGATTCGGTTCGGTTCAGTCGGTTCTTGTCTCGTTGTTGCGTCGCTGCTCCCTTCCTCTCTTCTAGGCTGGTTGCGGCCTATCGGTTTCGGTCGGTTTCGGTTTCGCTGTCGATTCAGTTGGTTTTTGGTCGGAGCGTCCCCGTGGACGGCCTTGGTATTTGAAGCGAGCAAAGTGTTGACCGCCTTGCCGAAGATCAGTCTCCTCTGCGGGGGCAGGTCGGCGGCGCTGCGCAGTATGTTGGATCGGATTCACTGTGTGGCTAGCGGAGGGGAGGGCGAAGGGGGATGCGGGACGAGCGAGCGAGGGACGCGAGAAGGCAGGCGAGGCAGGGGAAGAGCAGGGAGGATGAGCGGGAAGAGGGCAGAAGCAGGGAGAGGGAGAGGGGGGAGGAAGATGAGCACACCCGTGGCACGCACCGTAGCACCCGAGGGGCACGGCGCGCGGTGGTCTTGTTCAAGAGTCCCGCTCCACAGGACGTCAACGGCGACGGCCTCATCGATCGCCGCGAGTTCGTGCAGGGATACAGGCCAGCCGATCACCAGCTCAGCACTTCGCAGCATCGATTCCCCTTCTCTCCTTGCCTCCTCCTCCCCCTCCTCCTCCCTCCTCCTCCTCCTCCTCCTCCTCCTCCTCCTCCTCCTCCTCCTCTTCTGGGCGCCGTTCTGGCATTTCATCCTCCCCTCCTCCCTCCTCCTCCTCCCTCCTCCTCCCTCCTCTCTCCTTCACCCATCCTCCGCCCCTGCTCCTCCCGGCCCTCCTCCGGCGTCCAGGCCTCCCGCGGGGGCGCGAAGCCACATCGCCCCTCGCGCCCCCCGGGGGGGGGGAGGGCGGCGCGAAGGTGGGAAGGGCGACCTGAGCCTCGCGACGCGCAGACTTTTCAGCCTCCCTTGATCTCCTCACCGTCGTCATCCTCGCCGTCGTCTGCTGAGCCCGCTTTCGAAGGCCTTCGTCGATGTGCGCGGGTTTTCCATCCTCGGAATCCCCGGGATCTTTTTGTGCAGCTCCGCCTCGCCAAGGGCGTTCTAGGGGTGCCCAGATCGCCCCGAACGACTGCCGGAGACTCGAAAAGCATACTTCCTCGCGTCGTGAAAGTATCATTGTGGATGATGCTTGCCAATCGACGGCCCGCTCAGGATGAACGCGACGGCTCAGGGGCCCGGCCGCGCTGCGATTCAAAGACGAAGTCGGGTGTTGGGTCCGCGAAGATCTGATGTTTCGATGTCGTCCATACGGGGCCCCGAAGGTCTGGACCCTTCGACCAGGGCCATCTTTTGTATCCCGACCCTTTTTGTTGACGGTCCCGGGGCTCGGCGAGGGCGCCGAGAGGCCCAAAAACGGGGAATCGTCCATCTCGTGGTGTATCAGACGTGGGACGTATGCGGAAGTTTGCGCTCAGGGGTCAAACAGCAGCCCCTGGACGTCTCTTGGGATGCGTTCTGGCCAGAACTTCGAGAGGAGTCCAGCCCTGGCAACGAGGAGCTCCCCGGAAGCTCACGAAAGGCGAACAGCGCTTGGAGTCCTCGAGCCTCGAGGAGAGGTCCCTCGTCCTTCCCCGCTCCAGGCTGCCAGGGAGCATAGGCGCTATTTCGGGGCGCGGCGAGCCTGACTTTCGGCTTCGCGGGGAGCGGTGGAGGTGGAGGTGTGGCTGAAGAGGAGGGAGAAGGAACAGGAGCAGAAGCAGCAGGAGCTGGAGCGGGAGCAGAAGCAGGAGCAGATTCGCAGCAGCAGCAGAGAGCAGGAGCAGGGATGAGAAGGAGGAGGAGGAGGAGGCGGAGGAGGAGGAGGAGGAGGAGGCGGAGGAGGAGGAGGAGGAGGAGGAGGGGAGGGAGAGGAGGGGGGAGGAGGCGGAGGAGGAGGAAGGCGGAGGAGGAGGATGACGAGGAGGAGGAGGAGGAGGAGGAGGAGGAGGAGGAGGAGGAGGAGGAGGATGCGGAGGAGGAGGAGGAGGAGGAGGAGGAGGAGGAGCAGGGGGCAGGAGGCAAGAGGGCACCAGCGGGAGGCACCGCGGCGCCAGGCCGCTGGTGGGGGCGCTCCGCCGCGCGCCCCCCACTCCCAGCGTGGGCATCCAAGCGGGCGACCCAGGCACGATCGCGTCACAGCAAACATCAGGACCGAGGTCTTCCATACCTCGCTTTCAATGTTTGCGTGCCCTTGTTGGGCCCCGGGACCTTCCAAGAACGGCTCGGGAGGGAGAGTTCCTGGGGAAGGGGTCTAGACTTCTAGGGTTCCCGCACTGAAAAAAAGCAGGACCTCGCCTGTCTGGGTAAGGACTACACGGTTATGTGGATATCATGACCGGGCCTTTGAGATCTCCCGGGTGTCATGGCTCCCTCCGCTATCGACACGTTCCCTCTTCCCCCCTCGGGCGTCCGCGCACACGCCTCGGACCATGATGAGCTCCCCCCCCCGTCTGCCTGGCCGCTCCTGAGACCGCCCCCCTCCCAGGAAGCTGGGCCACCTGTTCGACTTCATCGACACCGACGGTGACCGCCCCGCTTGGCGACAGGAGGGAGGCAGGATCGAGGATTGCGGATCGAGCCTATGACAGTTTGGATTCTGATTTGGGCCTCGTCGCCACGGCTGGATTCGCCTTGGGATCCTGGCCAGAGCGCACCCCAGGAGAGTTCAGGGTGTCGATTTTTCTTTGGGCACGCATGCGAGCCCTGCCATTGGGGCCTTCCGTGGAGATCACTATGGACCACGAACGTTTGAGGGTTGTATTGAAGTGTGGCGGATCTTGATGGTGATGACAACAAGGTGTTGACGACGACGATGATGATGATGATGATGATGATGATGATGATGATGGTGATATTGATGGTGATGGTGGTGATTATGACAATGGTGGCGATGTTGATGGTGTCGCTGGTAATGTTGATGATGATGTTGGTAATGATGATGTTCATGCTGATCATGATGATTATGCTGATGATGATGCCGACGACGACGATGCTGATGATGACGACGATGCTGGTGATGATGATGCTGATGATGATGGTGGTGATGACGATGATGATGCTGATGATGATGACGATGCGGATGATGATGATGATGATGATGATGATGATGATGATCACCATCATGATCATGATGGTGATCATGACCACGTTGATGATGATGAGTATGGGGGTGATGAGTATGATGAGGAGGATGATTATGATGATGTTGATGATGATGATGATTGTGATGTCGATAGTGACGACGACGGTCACGATGATTATGATGATGATCATCATAAAGGTGATGAGGATGCGAACATGAAGATGGTGTTGGTGTTGATGATGACGATGATGACGATAATGTTGATGATGACGACGATGATGATGATGAGGAGGATAATGAGGACGATATTGAAGATGAAGATGACTACGACCATGATGATGATGATGAAGATGAGGATTAGGATGATGATGTAGCTGTTGCTGTTGCGGTTGCTGTTGCTGGTGCTGTTGCTGCTGATGTTGATGTTGAGGTTGCTGTTGGCGATGGTGATAACGACGACGACGACGATGACGATGACGATGACGACGACGACGATGACGATGACGATGACGATGCTGATGATGGTGAACATTGTCGTGGTTGTGATGGTGGTGTTAATGGTGATGATGGTCATGATGGTGACGAGGATGATGGTGATGGTGAAAGTGTTGGTGCTGGTGCTGGCGATGTTGATGGTGTTGATGATGATGGCGATGATAATGATGATGCCTCTTCTATTCTCTGTGAGCAAGCTCCTGCTGTCTCCGCAGCTTCTCTGCCCAAGTGCCCCCCGTCGGCCGCGCGTGCGGGCGCCTTATGCAGGCGGTCGCACAAGCGGCTCTCCAGGGCGCTGGGGAGATTTTGTTCAGGGGGCTGCGGGCCGCGCTCTACGAGCGGCTCGTGGCTGCCCCCCTCTCTGTGCTTCAGGACCAGGGGCCTCCAGCTCCTGCCTGGTCCATCCTGCAGGCGGACTCGTCCGAGGGCGAGGGGGCCTCCTGCCCTCTCCCTTCGGCGGGTTCCACCTGCCCCACCGTCTGCCTCGGGCTGGCGGTGGACCTGAGCGGCGGGGTCTCTCCCTGGCTGCTCAGCACGGTCGCCGCCCTCCTCTGGGTGACGGCCGCCTGCAGCGCCTGCGCGGGCTGCTGCCTCGGGCTGCTGGGCCCGTACGTGTGGCGGAGGCTCTGGCCCTTCGCCTGGCCGCGCGGCGCGGTTTCTGCTTCACCTGAGCAGGACCGCCGTGCGGCGCGAGCGCTGGCCTACGGGGCTCCGCCTCGACCTCAAGCGCTCGAGCGGGCAGACGCCCAGCGTGCGGGCGGCGGCGTCCACGGCGGCGCCCACTGATGGCGGAGCTGCCACCAGTTGGCGGAGGGCCCCTTTGGCCCGAGCTCTACCCTTTCGCTGCGCCCACGGCGCGCGACTACGCACGATGGCGCCTAGACGACGGCGACACCAGCTGGGCGGCTATCCCCCTCGCCTCTCGAGAAGGGGGCATCCTGCTGGCCCTGCCTGGTGCCTTTCGCTCTACAGCGGAGCTCGAGGCTGCCGAGGCGGATGGCTTTGCTGGGATGATAGGCCCCTTCCAGCTAGTGGACGTCCAGCTCCAGGGGGCCGCTTCACGGCCGCTCGCCACTACCGCATCCGTCCTCGTTATAGATATCGAGGTTGCCGAGCTCGAGCTCGAGTCGCTGTACCCTCTAGAGGTCGGCGACGACGCAGGCATCGTTCCCTTCGCCGAGGTGCGCAGCCGCGTCTATTGGCCGCATCCTTCGGGGGTTCGGGTGCTTCGCGAGGGCTACGCTCGTTTGCACGGCGCCCCGCCTACCGCAGGGGAAGAGCCTCTCCCAGGGGCCGATCGGGCTACCCCCTACCACTCTGCCGACGAGATGGAGGAGCCCGAGGGGTTCGCGGCCGACGGGGAAGCCGACCGCGCGGCCCCAAGTGCGCGAGCCCCCGCGGTCGCTGGAGCGCCGCGCGGCCCGCCCGCCAAGCGCGCTGGCGCCGCCGCGCCGCCACGGGTCGCGGGTCCTGCTCCGATTGCTCCTGGCGCTCCTGCGGCGTCTCTGGACGACGGGGCTCCCATGACCCGCGCCGAGGTAGCTGCCGAAATGCGCGCCTTGCTTGCAGCCCACGCGGCCTCCACGATGGTCGGCGGACCCGAACCGCTGGGCCCCGCTCCGGCTGCCCAGAGCGCTCGGCCCGAGGTGCCTCAGCTTTTCAGCGACGAGGCGGCGCGCCTCGGGCTGGATCCTGCGGGGATCGAGGCCGTCTTGTCCCACGCACCCGTGGCCCCTCATCGGGTCTCCGCGCGCCCCAAGGGACCCACCTCCGCGCTGGTCTCGGCGTGGGAGAAGGCGCGCTCTTCTGCTGTCCCTCGGGCCCCTTCGTCCGCTTTCGGACCGATGGGCCCCCCGCCGCCGCCTGGGCTAGCCTATCCCGCTGCGGTCGACGGCTTTGCCGAGGTGGGCGGCGCCGACGGGTTAGAGCCGCCCCTTGCGGCCAATCCGACGGACTTCAGCCTCATGCTTCAGTGCCTGCACCAGTCCCTTTCCTTGCAGCAGGGGCGGGGCCATCGCCCAGCCTTCCACCCGCTTCTGGGGACCCTGAGCGACCAAGCTCAAACTCCGCCCGCGACCTCGGGCGACCCCGCGCACGCATCGGCTCAGATGGGGGGAATCGCTCGGAGGCGCGAGTGGCAGCAAGCGCTGATGCAGCACGGCCCCGACGTGCGAGGACTGATGAGGGAGAATTTGGCCCGCGTTCTGGGCGTGGAAGTCAGCGCCGTGACCCCCATGGCCATGCATCAGTACTTTCGCGAGCACAGCCCCCTCGGGGCTCAGCCGTCGACGCACGAGTTGTTGACGCATTTTGCCTTCCTCAGCGCCGAGCTGTGGCGGGCCTGCGAGGAGGGCAACCCCGAGAGGGTCCAGACCTTGCTGACTTGCCAGTGCATGTTCATCGACCAGTTGGCGGGGGACCGCGGCTACCTCGAGGCCGCTTGGTTCCTCACGGGGCTGGAGCCTCCCCCGTGTCGCGTGACCAGTCGTCACACGGAGCGCGAGGCCCAGACCCCGTTTTCACCCCTAGTGGATCCTCGCTGGCTGTCGGCGCAGGGCGAATACATGAAGGAGCTGCAAGCATTTCGGGCGCGCCTCGACGCCGAGCGCGCCGTCGCGCTCCCCAAGCATCCACCTCATCAGCCCAAGCAGCCCAAGGTCTCAAAGCCCCCCTTCAAATCTCAGGGTGCTCCCAAGGCCCCGAAGGCGGTGCCCAAGAAGGACTGAAGATGCCCTTGGCGCCCGCCTTCTTGGAGGGGGGGCCTTCGCGTGGCCGAGGTACGCCGCCGCAGACAGTCTGCACCGACGCTGCTATGGCTGCTAGGCGTGTTTGGGCGCAGCGAGGGCGTGAGGGTAGGAATGCGCTCCTCCAGCGATGCTGTTGCGGCCCCGCAGGGAGGAGTACGTTCCGCCACCACGCCCCTCGCTCTGCTCCGAACCGCCCCTCGGATCCATTCGGCCATTTTGGCCGTCACCTGCCTCAGTCGAGCGCTCCCCCCATGGGGCCTGCAGCCCCTGAGGTTGGTGTTCTTGCTGGTGCTTGTTCTCCTTCAAGCACCCCTGCTGCTCTTGCCAACGTCGCGCCATTTGTCGCTGACTTGTCTGCCTTGCTGCGCCTGTTTCCAGGTGCGAACATTGATATCACCCACTGGGCGGCAGCGCTGTCCCAGGTTGGGATGGGTGCTCGATGTTCTCTTGGATCTTTCTCCCGCTCATCTATGCGTGCAATGGACCGGGACGACCCGTACCTTTTGGGGCCGCCTCCCCGCGATCCTTGGCCGTGCCCGCCTGCTCCACCTCTTGGCCCCCCGCCTGACGGCTTGTCGGCGAGGCGCAGGGAGCGCTGGAGATTGCGGCGCGCGGCGCGGACGCTCGCGCAGTATTCTGTTATTGCGTTGAACTGGCTCACTTTGGGTCATCCTAGCCTCGCTCCCGCCGAGGCTCGCGTCCGTGCCACGGTCTCGCCCTGCCAGGAGGGCGTCCGCACCCGTATCGAACGGTTGTGTCGGATCGCAGTTCGCCTCGCCCGTGGTGGCAAGAGCGACTTAGGTCGAGCCTTCGCCAAGTTCGACTCTACTGAGGTCTCGCTCCATGGCCTGGCCACCCATGTTGCAGCTTTGGAGGCCTCCTTCACCTCCTCTTCTTCCGTGCCCGCCCCCATGCGGCACTGCCCGACCAGCGCTCCTTCCGTGCCTGGTTCGCTGGCGTCTGCGGCGGCTTGGGACTCCACCCAGGTCGAGCCCTTCGATTTAAAAGTCAGGGCGTCTCGCATTAAGTGGGATTATTCGCCAGTGTTTGATCCCATTCCATTTCTCTCTGACGCTCGAGTCCGCGAAGCGTTCATCAATCCAGAGGAGATGCGGCTCCCGGCGTCAGAGTGGCCTGCTGGCCAAAAGGGGGCGCGTGTCCATATGGACCGCGCCGAGCTGTGGGCCCTGCTCCAGAAG